TGGCCCCTTCCTGTTCCAACATGACTGCGCACCAGTGCACAAAGCAAGGTCTATAAAGACATGGATGAGCGAGTTTGGGGTGAAGGAACTTGACTGGCCTGCACAAAGTCCTGACCTCAACCTGATAGAACACCTTTGGGATAAATTAGAGCGGAGACTGCGAGCCAGGCCTTCTCGTCCAACATCAGTACCTGACCACACAAATGCGCTTCTGGAAGAATGGTCAAACATTCCCATAGACACACTCCTAAACCGTGTGGACAGTCTTCCCAGGAGAGTTGAAGCTGTTATAACTGCAAAGGGTGGGCCAACTCAATATTGAACCCTACGGACTAAGACTGGGATGCCATTAAAGTTCATGTGCGTGTAAAGGCAGGCGTCCCAATACTTTTGGTAATATAGTGTGTGTGTATATATATATATATATAATATACATTAACTGTATTGCAGAGCAAACCTTAAAGGTGGTTGCTTTAAATGAAGTGCATTGCAGTAATGGCCATAGTGGCTGATTTACCAAAAGAGTAAAGCCTGTTCAGTTTGCAAGGTGAATTTTGACTGTGCAAGGGGATTGTCACTTTACTTAGTGAATGTGATATAAAGTCACTTTGCAAACACTACCCAATCATAGGAAAATTTAAAAAAAACAGGATTTTTGCTTGCACATGGATGATAAAAGTCAACACGGCATCAACTAATTTACTAAGCTAAGTGAAAATTCCCTTGCGCAGTCAAACTTCTCTATGTATCCTTTAGTAAATCAGCCATATAGTGTCTAAATTGGTAGAAAAGCCTTCGTTGGCAGGCAGCCTTACACTTAGTCACATATAATACACAAATTCTTACACAATTATGAAAACCTTTTATGTTATTTTCTTTAAACTATAAAACAGCCCAAGAAAAGAGGAAAAGTAAATAAAAAGAAAGGTCTGGGCATATAACTGACCATTCTGTAGATTGTAAAGCTAGATGTTGATTTCAACTGGTAAAAAAATTGATTTTTTTTCATGCTGTTACTTGAGCGCTTTTAAGAAACATTGTTTGTTCTGTTTTAGCATATTTAAAAACAGGTGGATGTAATTATTATAATCCCCAATAATATTATATTAAAATATTTATCAAAAAGCTCAGGGTAGTCAACCAAGGAAACGGTGTATATTCTTGTCCACAGAGGTCTGGTACTGTAATTGGAGTATAATCATCGGCAACGAATGAATACAATTCGCCCCGATTCCAGCAAATCTATCAAAAAATTCACCAAAAGGAAATTTTGAGGTGAATAACACTGAAGTCAATGGGAAAGGCAAAGTCTGTTGGACCATTGTGACCTCTTGGGGGACTGCAGGGTAAGATATTTTCAAAGAAATAGTATTAGAAGCAGGGTGCTGCCAATTTAAAAAAAATACAACTTCAACCTCACTGACTTTTGGCTGTGAAATTAGTATTATTTCCAACTAGCTCTGCTTTACAGCAACACCCCAATCTGTTTTTATTTGATTAGTATCAGCTAAAAAAGCATTTTTTCTGTAGTGTTTAGAAGCAACACGTGTATTTATCAAGCCGTACTGGGCCTGCTTTGACCAGCATCAGTAGCAGTTGCAACAGAACTAAATACAGAGTGAATAGCCACAGGCAAGTATCTTCCTACAAAAGTAAAGCTAAAACCCTCAAGTATGGGTAGGTAAAAAATAACCAATTGCACTACAGCTTAGTGGCACAGTTTGTGATGCACAAAAACACTTCTTAGCACCATGCCACGTTCCCCACACTATTATCATATCCCCAATTTTTCCAATTATATTAGAGCTACAGCCCTCTGGTATGGTGTGGTAGAAATTGGATCGATAGAATCAGTACAATTTTTTTTGCTTTTTTCGGCTCACTTCGAACTGAAGGGCTGCTGTACAGGCTATTCACTATAGCCCGTACAGCAGCCGAAAGCAGGTGTACGGCTCAGCGGAGCTGAACGCATATGCTTCGGCTTGGCTGAGCCGTATTGACAGTCTAAGCAGGGAGAAAGGTCGGCCAAAGCCAACCGTTCTCCCCACAAAAGACAACAGCTGGGCGCAGCCAGCCATTATGTCACGGCTGGCTCCGCCCAGTTGTTGTACTGTCATGACAGATCAGAGTCCCCATATGACCATTAAACAACAACTGGGCAAGTTATTTGAGGACACTGAGCTGTCATTACATGACAACTGGGCGGAGCCGGCCATGATGTCTCGGCCGGCTCCGCCCAGTTGTTTTCCTTTGTCCGGGACCTGCCGGAAGACTCTGGTAGGTGTCGGTCAAATGTAAACGGTTGGGCGGAGTTAGAAGTGATGTCAACACTTGCTCCGCCCAATTGTTTATATTTTGCCAGCATCTGTCAGATTCTTCATTCTGCGGCGGGAGTTCATCGCGTGCGGTCAGGTCAGGTTTTTTTCTACTATTATATTTTATTTATTTACTATTTTTTTTTTTTTCCGCCAAGTTGCCGTCATGGACAACGCTGGACATCATGATTGACCTTAGGATTACGTTGGTGGATCAATTTTTTGAGGATTTGTTTTATTAAAGGACTTGTCAAAAATCCTTTGTTGTGTATTTCTTTCAATTAAAGGATTTTTGATTAAAGTCTGGCCTCTGTTTTTCAATTCTATTTTAACCCTTTAGTGAATTGGTAAGGGTACAAGTACCCTTAACTCATTCACAAGGGGGGGCACATCTGGGTGCCCCTTTTTTAAAGGGGTACACTGTTGTGAATAAGCCCACACCCCACAACCAACACCCCAGGGCTTGTGGGGAAGAGGCCCATCAAGGGTCTGGTTGGGTATTTTAGGGGGAACCCCACGTCTTTCTTTTCCCCATTTTTGGGGGTGAGGTTAAAATTCCTACCAGACCTTCAGGGCCTGGTATGACTTTGCAAGGAAACCCACACACTTTTTTTTTACATTTTAAGTTGAGTCCCTTAAAATTCCTACCAGACCTAAAGGGTCTGGTATGACTTTTGGGGGGAACCGCTGTGATTTTTTTCTTTCTTTTTAAATAGAGGTCCCTCCTATTATTCAGCATGTTCAGCTGACCGAAGGCAGCCTATGTACGCCTGATTTTAGCCGATGTACGGCTGAAATCAGCCATACTGAGCTGAAGTGAATAGCCGAACGCCGTTCGGCTCGGTTATTCACTCGGCTGCCTTCAGCAGCTTAGTAAATAACCCTCTATGTTTTTGATAGAAACTGGCTCCATGCAATATTATTATTTTAATAATTAGCAAAGCTCTAAAAACAATTTCATCAAGTGCACAGAAATCTTTTTAATAATAAAATAATAATTTTCACCTATTTATGCTATTTGGCCAATTTAAGTTGGCATTTTTAAAAAGTGGTGTTTCAAATGCCAAAAAGTAACTTACTTTATATGTGTTATGACATTGAGCTATTATTTTCTTTTTTATAGAACCACATACTTGCTTGGTAGAGTGAAGAGAGCACCAGACATATGACTGAGAGTCCAATTTAACCTTTCATCATCATAAGAGCAAAAAAAAAAGAAAAAAAACCCACTGCATTTTAGGGGCTTAACCAATGCCTCTTCATTAGAGCAGGCCCTTAATTAAAGCTAGAGAAATCAACTCCAAAATATCCACTCTCAGTTCAGTTTTCTTCCAAACCTCGCCTTCATAAGTCCTGATGAAGGTGTTGGAAATACAACAGTTTATGCTGATATGGACTGATTGCATTACCGACATTCTAATGTACTGTTATGTTTTTTGAGCACTAGATGGTGCTGTGGTGCAATGCTGGTCTATGCTAGTCTTTGTGTGCATGTTTGTCTATGATATACAGTTTATACAGGAAGGTCTATATATATGCTGTAAATTCTGTATTCTGATGTAACGTCCTTCTAAGCAAGTAAAACTTAATTCAGCATTCCTCAAGATCTCAGTGATTCATCTAAACACATAACCAACAGAAGGAAGATTGGCTAAGTTCCAGAAATGCATTGGCTATGGTTTTTCTCTCTTGACGAATAAAAATTGCGCTGGACTCTCAACCATACATCTGGTTGACGCTACCAAACGTATTGCTGTCACTCTCGGGACCTCCTCTTTGGACCCATCGGATCTTAAAGAAGAACTCTGGGGAAAAATTCTTAACCCTGGCAGTGGGGCTACCCCAGCACTGCAAGGGTTAAGTGCTCGTTTGTGTTTAGGTTAAAAAAAAATAGACTCACCTGAACCTTGGAGATCAGCTGGCTGTGACAGCACTTTCTCCAATCTGTCTCCTCCTCTGCTGCAGTGATGATGTGTCCCTCTGTGTCCTCACATCCTATACACTGTATAGAACGTGATGACTCGAGGACCCCTCCCTGCAGCGGAGGGGAGTGAGGCAGAATTGACCAGCCTAAGAGCCGGCCAGCTCCGAGCATTAGGTGAGTATAACTTTTTTAACCTAGACTTAAACAAGTCCTTAACCCTTGCCATGTGGAGGTCGCTTAACTGCAAGGGTTAAGAGTTCTGCTTTAAAGAGCAGCCCCTTAACTAAAATATCAACAGACCTAAATATCTAACGACATCCTGAGCCAGTGCTCCACCAACATAACTCTTTTTTTTATATCTGTTACTTTTTATACTGTTACAGTTGAATACTAGCCAATCCTTTTAGTGCCAGATTGGGTGGGGAAGGGTTAGGTTAAGTGCTCTGGCAAGTGTTATTGCTGTTTGTGACTCTGTACTAGTGACAGAGACCTTTCTCCACTCTTAAATATATTTTGGCTGAAGTTCTACTTTAACAAGACTTGGTCACAGAACAAGTACAAGAAAATGTACCTGGGGAGTGTGGGAAATATGTCCAGAAATGTACATTTGCTGAATCAGTAATAGATCGTGTCCTATTGCATTATATACAATGATGAAGCTGTGATAGAGAAGTTAGCAAGTTTTACAATTTGACATAAAAAGGTGTCATTTTTTTATGACAGTGAAATTACTTATTATTTATTGTGTCATTTCTTTTCAGACACTGCTCTTTTCGAAAGCTACACTCAAGGGGAGATACGAGAGCTTGTATCGACTTTGGTCGAAAGGTACAGCCAGTCCTTACATTCTGGAGACGACCCGAAAAATGTACCCAGGATGAAGAGAGCACGTGTACGAAAACAGCCATGCACCATAAAGGAGCTGGAAGTGAGAGTCAGCGAGTTGGGGCTGGGATATATATCAGACGAGACAGTCCTGTTCCGCTATTGCAGCGGCACATGCGACGCTGCTGTGCGCAACTACGACCTCTCTTTACAAAGCATTCGAGGCAAAAAGAAAATAAAAAAAGAGAAAGTGAGAGCAAGACCTTGTTGCCGCCCTCTTGCATACGATGACGATATTTCTTTTTTGGACTCCAAAAATCATTACCATACTATCAAAGAGGTCTCAGCTAAAGACTGTGGCTGTGTCTGACAAAAACTGATAAAGGAAACAAAAACAATGAATATGTCCTATCTCTGCTGTTTGGTTTTGTTACCTGGAAACAGGAGTTCACATGATTTATCTTCTACCTCACTTAATTATATAGAATGGAGATCTGATTTTATTACCTGAGCATATGGTTTCGTAGAATTAAAACAGCTTGATGGATTTGAAAAGCTGAAAGTCTACCGCAACAAAGATAGAGTTTGGCCCTTCATAAAAGAATCCACTTTGTGACATTTCTGTGCAGTAAACACTGAGGAATTAAAAGGGAATTACGTTTTGCATTGCATGTGGAATCTCCTTCTTTGTAACTATTACAAACTAAGAAACAGTTTGCTTTAATGGCTGTCTAGCCAGTATATCTTCCAGTAGCAACTTTCAAATTTCCAGGGCCTAATTAAACCAACAGAATATACAATTTTCCACTTCTCAACCAGGTGGAAGTTGGGACCATTGTATAACATATTAAGCAGTTATTGTTATCTGTGCCAAAAATCCAAGCTTTTTCATGTTAAAAGTTTGTCACTTGATGATACTATGCAGTTACAAAAGCCTAAACAATATACAGACTACAGGTTATCAACATTATTTCATTATATACGTGCACGTTTTGCCTGTAAATGTTGTTGAATGCCTATTAGTATGGGTTGACATTTTTCCCATAAAGGTATTATTTATAAGTGTTATGAAGACCTTTCACAGCAGGCCAGGGTTGGTTTTGACAGAAATATGACCTACTCTATTATCTTTACATATTCATCATAAAATTGTGTATTTACATTCCACATGCCAGAGATATGTATGAAAGCAAATAATGAACTATTTAAGTACAAAGATGTTGCCGTCTACCTAGAATCCATTATATGGGCTTGACAGAAAAGCAAGAAACAGTCATTTTGTCGTATAGATGCTTTAGTACGTAAGCTCCTTTCTAAAGTCCACCCAAAGCAAATGGTTCCATATTAGCTGCAAAGGAAGGTGCAGGATGTAGTTATCTACTGTAATTGTGACCTCTGTGTGTTTGTGACCACACACAGTGCATGTTTGTAACACCAGTAGTGAGCACAGCCATCTTTCTCTGGCAGACCTTGTTTAGCAGCATCAAATTGCCCTGCTTTTCCCAGTGGAAGATCCATTAGGGCAAAAGTGACAGCACTGATCTGTTCGATGGCAAAAGCTGCATTAATTCTTTCCTGGGAACCTTGTTCATTCAAGATGAAATTCTGCAGTTTACTCAGATGGAGAAATCCAATCTTTAGGATTCTATGCAGTATTACAATTTACAGTTACAGCTAGCTGCATTTGTACTTTTAGTTATAATCACACCTGTTACTATATAATGGCTAATCTTTTCTGCATTTTCACAGTCTTTGATTAATTGGCAAAATCACTGTTCCATACTGATATAATAACAGGCATACAGTATATGAAATTATACTAAAATCAGCTAAAGAAACATGTAAAATCTATTTTCTAAAGTGTATATGAACTACGTGAATAAGTGTGTTGCTGTGTGTACAACCCTTTTTATAAACATTAGAAAAACAATTTTTAAATGGAACCAAATATGTGTACTATTTTTTATTTTTAGGTTTTGGATAGAGTATGGAAGGGTTAAATCCCTTTAAAACTTTAAGTGGCACTAAACTCAGGAGTTAAATCTCAAAAATGCATTCAAATACATTCACTATTAACAAAAATGTATCTTATTTGTGTATCACTTGGCTGTAGTAGATCCTTAAATCATCTCTGAATTGGTGCTGACACTCTCCTTCCTTCTGGAAATGGGGCTACTTTTGTCCCCCCTGGTCCCTGTGTGTGTTGTAAAGTAGCCACCACTCCAAGCTCACTCCTGTGGTGGACTACAATCTCATGTTTAATTTACTAATTTGTAGTGAAATTATAGGCCATCACAGGAGTGAGATCAGAGTTGAAGAAGGGACAGTGTCAGCATGAATTCAGAGATGATTTGAGGATCTACAGATGAGTGGTGCACGAATAAGTGACATATATGTTAATAAATAAGGTACTTGAATGCATTTTTAAGATTTAAATCCAGAGTTTAGTGTCACTTGAAGGCATTTCCCCTCTTAGACAGTTGTCCCCAAAAAAGGTGTTCCCATTGGAAGATTGGAAGATTTCCCTTTACCTATTGTTCTCGGGGCAAGCTCTAAAATGTTGGATTTTCCATCATTTTCTCAGTGACATTGCTAACCAGTGCAAATAGAGGGGTGAATCTGCCCAATAGGAACATAGACAGCAATAAAAACTTGATGGTGGGTCTAACCCTTCCCTACTCTATTCAAAACAATAAAAAAGAACTTGCTTAGAGGCAAATGGGCCAGATAAATTATTGCCAGTGCAACAGTGCAAGAAAACCTGCTCTTTTTTTGGATGCGCCAAATAGATACATTTCAAGGATTTAAAAAGAAGGATGCAACTGTGAGCAATTAAGTAATGGTTCCGAAAATTAGTTTGTCAATATTTGGTGCAATTAAGGTATGCAGTAAGGCCGGTCAGATACACATTCTACTATGAGCCAAATAAACCATATGTGCTTCAACATAATAAATTACTAGACATGCAATGAACCAAAATAAGATGTTACGTGCGCTAATTGGCATTCCTCAACAACCACCAATCTTAGTTTATTTGGCCCAGTGTTTTATGTTGTGTATAGTATGTAGCTGAAGCCGATATACAGCAGCTGTGTAAACTAGCAGTTCTCAATCTTTTTCCACTCAGGTCAAAACTGCTAAACCTGATGATCTATCAGCCTTATATATGGCATACAAAGTTTGCAAAATGTGACTAAAAATAACTTCTAGACACATTTACATTGATCACAAATGATAAAAGTTATTGGAAATTCAATATGAAGTTCAAACATGTAAAATATACTTGCCATTAAATACCATAGCGTAAAATGCCTATTACATGTTTACATTGTAAACTGCACATAAAATAACACAAAAAAATGAAGCTGAACTATATGTGAGCAAAAATATTAAGAATTAAAGAGTAATTTAAAAATATATGAAGAAAGAAAGAATGCTTATTTTGCTCCTCTTATGCTTTCTACTTGAGATGTGTGCTTTCAGTCTCGAAAATACTTGCTGCTTTGTCAAATGTTTTTTCTACTTCTGTTAACCACATTTACACCACTGTCCAGTCTAATCCTTCTCTGTCTACCTCCCTTTTTGCCCCACTTGGTCCAATCTACCTTCTAACATCTACGTCCACACCACCTTCTGCCCACTCTGGTCACTTTATATCCTTCTTCCTCACTTGGCCCATATCACCTTTTGCTTATATTGACCATCTTATGTCTACTCTGTTCATTTGTCTTATCCTATCCACACCACTTTTTATCCATTATGTCCATCTTCTTCACTCACGGTACACTATCTACCACTTGGTCTCTTCCACCTTCTCTAACTTCTGTTCACTTTTCCCATTACCTCTTAACCAACTACTGCCCAAATGCACCCACTATCTTTCACTTCTTATGTATGACCATTTTGCTTCAGTCAAGCATTTGCCCTTTATGCAACTTTTGCACAAACTCGCAAGCAGTTCACTCACTGTCAATCCTCTCTAGGCAGGGCAACACCTACAGCTCTAACGATCTAGAGGGATCTCTGATTGAAAGATCAATCAGTTTTCAGTTACTTTTGGGGAATGGATTTGGTAAATGCTTCTGTGCCGTTGCCTACATTCTCCACCAGCAGAAGTGGTATAGAATAGCTAGTGTAAACTACAGAGAGGAAGAGAGCAAAACAAATGATGTTATGATATTAGTGAGCTTTATTAAGCATTACAGTTATTCTTAATAAGCTAGTGGACTGATGAAGTAAATTATCTTTATAGTTCTCCTGTATATCTCTGTATGTAAAACGTACAAAATAATAAACAGTACAGTTATGCCTATTTAATAAGGCAGTTAAAAGGCTGTTTTCAATCTGATGCAGTCAGACATATAAAAGTCTATACTTTTATTTTCAAATTTCAGCTGCTGTTTGTACAGCCTTGTGGTATATGACTAATAATTACATTTAAACATTAGATGTATGGCATATTATTGGCCTACACCAAAAACATTTTGAAACATGTACAAAGGGATCTAGTGGAATAATTTCCCATACTGGCTTTTCTGCTAATGGTATCAGAAAGGCAATGAGGATTTTGTGAGCTTTGTAGAATTTGGCAGGGATTTCTTTTTAGGCACTTGGTAAGCAAAACAATGTTAAAAGCCCTTATTGTTTAAACCTGTTTTGATCTTTGAGTTTATGTTCTCACTAGGGGTCATGTTTCTTTAGTCTAAAACAAGTTCTGCTTGCCCCTGCCCCTGAATATATTGAGGTCTTGATTCCACAGGTAATGGCCACATTTACTGGATTAAATCATAAAGGTACAATCACAATCACATAAAATGATTTCTTGTCTGTTTAAAGTCCATTTGCAAGTAGAAAGTGCTTACTACTGGATCAAAGGGGGTATAGAACAGCACCAGCTGACTAAGTATCAGATGTAAATGTAATCATTAATTTATTTATATGCTAGGGATAATTAAGAAATAGCTGTTAGATGCATATAAAAAGGGAAGCAGAGCGATTATTTTCTTACTTAAGTTAAATCCTTATTATTCTCCCAGTTCTGTTATCTCAACGGGACCACTTTGATCTTGGCAGACCTAATGTGGTGCCCTACTTTTATTATATTATTTCTGTATTATATATCTGCAGCAAAAAGATGAGTATTATAAGCTTACTAGCTTGTATGGAGGATTTTTCTTTTAGTCCAGTGTACACATCTTGTAACCTTTATGGCCATCTTCCTGCAAACGGTGCTGTAAAGTTTGGATAAAGCCATCTGAGGGCAAAATAAGCCAAGTAAAAGCTGTGTCATGCTATTAGATTATGTATGCTGTCTTCCGGGGTAATTTCCCATCATCTTCTTCACTAGTGAGGTCTACAGAGTGTAGTCCA